GCCACCGGTGGCTACCAGGGGCAACTCTGGGCTGGCCTACCGGAAGTTTGGACAATCTGAGTGTGCCCTGAGAAAGAGATATGTGCAGCTCCTATCGGGATTTGTCGGCACATTCGGGCGGTGTTGCTGGTCTTGTTTTAACCTGTCGAAATGTCTTGTTGTACCGGGATACCGAGTCTGATCGGAACGTCTGGGGTGGAGGTCTATTCCTTCGTTGACCGCGAGACCTTGTCATGGGCTAAGTTGGGACTCCCTTGCAGGGATTGAACTTTTGAAAGCCGTGCCTGCGGTTATGGGCAGATGAGAATTTGTTAATGTCCGGTTGTAGATAACTTGAACATAAACTTAATTAAAATGAATCAATCGTGTGTGTTACCGTGATGGCCTCTTCTCGGCGAAGTCCGGGAAGTGGACACGGTGTTGGAGTAATGCTTGCGTAGGTTGTTCCTCTAGATTCTCGCTCGCGCTTTGCCTCCTCTTCTCGCTCTCTTGTGCGAATAAGTTAGCCACCATACATGCTAGTCGCTTGCTGCAGCTCCTCATATAATTGCCTTATCCTTCCTATAAGCTTAAATAGTCTTGATCGCGAGGGTGCGAGATTGCTGAGTCCCTGTGGCTCACAGATTACTATTACACCAGATGCAGGTCCAGGTGATTCCGCTCCAGTTGATGCGTACGAGGTAAAGTGGGAGTTCGACGAGGACTCACAGCGTTACTATGTGTCTTTTCCTGATGATCAGTAGTGGTGCCCAGTTGGGGTTTGATCGGGACCGTGTCGCATGTTGGGTTTTCTTCTATTTTGGCGCCGTAGTCGAGCCATGAGTGTTTGGTTGATGTATGTTATTTATGTACTTTGATGTGACGTGGCGAGTGTAAGCCAACTATGTTATCCCTCTTTATTATTTATATTACATGGGATGTTTGTGATGATTACCTGACTTGCGACATATGCCTTCAATGCGATTATGCCTCTAAGTCATGCCTCGACACATGGGAGCTATAGTCGCATCGAGGGTGTTAGATGGGTGGCCTCTCCTCCTTTTTTCGGGCTTGAGACCGGCTATGAAATTTTAAGTGTCACCTTACAATGGCATAGGCGGAGTTCCCCACCCACCCTCCCAAAGAAGAAAAAGAAGAAAAAAAACACACCTAAAAAATAATGAAGACATTTTTTTGGTTTTTGTATTTATCAAATAAGTGCGAGATGTAAGCTACAAACATAAGAAGACATTTTTTTCA